AATTTGGGAACAACAAGAGTTGCATTAAGTAAGCGAGCAACTACTACAGCATTGCAGACCTGTCACCAACAGTAACATTTAGCAATAAAACACTACATCTGTTAAACTCAAAAGGCGAGGAAAGATGAAAGAAGCTGAGCTCAGAAGTCAGAACACATGCTTGAATTTCTGTAACTGGAATCACTTACAGCTACACGCTGCTGGTTTATTCCACCATTTGCAGTGATCATAATGTATCCATTCTTACCCTCTACAAAATAAAAAAAATTGTAACGTGAGAACTGAGCGATAGTATAAACTTACATCATGAAGTAAATATACAGAAGTCAAAGAGAGATACCATCAGGTTCCCAGTTACGTTGATCAGCACAGGGTCTCCAAGCAGAGGTAGGAACTACAGGTTCCTGCCATAAGTCTTTCGGTTCACGCTTACTTTGTCCCTTGTCATAACAAATTTTTCAATGAGAACATGGAAAACAAGAGAATAGAAATTAGAGACTGTACCAAAACAGGAAGTCCATCATAGAGAATGAACAAAAAAGATACCATTGCTTATATTTAAATACCTCGGCCAAAGCATGAGCAGCCAAAGCCAACAATCTTCCATAAATACCACTGTAATGTTTTTTCCCTTTACTAGGCTTTTTCACCTTTACCTGTAAAAGCCACAAAGGTAATGCTTTGGTGAATAAATTCATATCCTACAGAGAGTAATGCCAAATGTCCAGAGAAACTGTAAGCGTTGAGATCATGTCCGTTACTTTCCAATGCACCAACCATTACTATTCAAATGTGTATGAGTAATCCTTGAATTGTGGAAGTCACACTTGTGAAGGGCGATTAAAGTTGTGTTAGATAGTAAAATAAACGAAGTAATGGGGGGGGGGGAATCCAAACCCACATTATACGAGCTCTCTTTCATTTAGCAATTAATGCACTTCATTAAACCGAAGTTACTTATATTAATAAGGAAACAATGCAGCTAATCACCTACTAAAATCCATTATTTTCTTCACCATTACCATATTGTTAATAACTGTGACATAAATCTCACAGCAAATGAGAGTTGAGCTACCTGAGACTGAGGCTGAACAGAAACAGAAGAAGAATTCCTAGAAGATCCGTCACGGGGCCTGACCCGGTGATCTTGTAACCGCAAGAGCATAAACCAATCGACCAAGAAAAACAAACCCACCAAAGCAACCACCACTACGAGTCCTTTTACCCTTTTCTTTTGGTACCAAAGTTTAGCTCCTCTTCTCCTCACCTTCTTCGATTGCTTCTTTCGATCGCCCCATAATTTTCCCAACAATTCACCTACAACAAATGACGCCCCGCTCTTTTCACCGTTCAAGAACCGACTGGGGCCGAGACGGGGTGACTGGCTGGGGGACCCTTGACGGCTCCTAGGACTCGCCCAGAGGTCGACCCGGTCGGGGATCCGAATGGAATTGGGTTGATCTTGTTTAGATTCAGGAACAAGATCGTGGGAATTGTTTGTGTTGCTAGTTGAAGACATTAATTGGTGGGTTTAAAGGCTTAGATCCACTGCAAGAGAGTTAAAGAGGAGTGATTTTTGCTCAGGACATCACAGTCAGCGACGAAAACGCCGATTTATCTAGTGTGAAGTTAAGAGTGCGATTTTGCCGAACGTTGAAGGTGATGATAGGGATTTGGTTGTAATTTCTGAAATTCTATTCTGGGTCATCATCGGGATAAATCATTTCATTTTCTTAATTTAAAGTATTAATTTTTTAATATTTTTCATTAAAACCGAAAATATTAAGAAGAAAAAAACATTTTTTTTTGTTGTAACAGAAAATATTAAAAAATTAACATTTTAAATTATGAAAATGTTAAAAGGTTAACATTTTATATTACGTATAACCGGAAATATTTTCGATTACGTCTTTCTTTATTCTTAAATTAGGTTAACGTACGAATAACTATCAGAATATCCAATATCTTTAAGCCCAAATATAGCCACCTAAATAAGCCCAAACAAAGAGGATCGATAATCTGCTGAATCCATTAACGGACCCAGAAAACATCAGGAGCCCAAAGAAGAGGAACTGAAATTATGCAAGTATTTTATACTTGTGGAGGTGACTTAAATTTGATTAAATTAAATTTTAAAAAATGAGAAATTAAAAGAATAATTTGATATAAAGTATTTCGTAGGAAATGGAGTCGCCACGGTTTGAGCTTTTTGTAATTTGATATAATCCTTGGCTAGCTGCCAACGCCATGTTCCGACCCTACGATTCCCTTTTTCTTTCTTCTTTTCCTCAACAAACCATTCGTATTTGCAAAAGCCCTCTGTTTATCTTTGACCATTAATTAATTATATTAAATTGTGATAAACACCGTTAATCTGTGAACGTGGCCGTCTCAAACCCACGGATTCAACGCTGCATCCAGGGCAGGACAGCGGCCTGCCCGCTTCTTTCACCTTTTTGCTGAGTTGGAGTGAGTTCCTACCAATTGCTTTCTTTGATCGAGTGAAATATCTGAGTTCGCCTTCAGCCGACCACGCGGAACTCCCGATGTTTGCCTCTCACCAATGAACCAGATTGGTGGTTCAACTGATTAGACTACCAATTTCCAGTTTATTATTGATGATAAAAAACATTAAAAGTGATGAAATTAATTAAAAATATACATATACTAAATCAATAGTAATTTATATTATTTTAATAATACATTCGCCAGCTTGAACCAATTGATAGAAAGAAAAGAGTGGTAGTTTTGAGAAAATCAGCGTTTACAGTTGTACAGATACTGAATTTAAAAGTAAAATATTGATAATGAAAAGGAGATAGACGGGGTGACTTACAACTTCTTTTACTTTAGCGTAAATTTTACAGATGATCATTTAACTATTGTTTTTATTTATTTTGACTATCAATATTTTAATTTAATCAATCTAATCACTCAAATATTTAAATGTTTCAATAAAATCCCTTGTTGTTAACATTTAGCGGGGGATTTGACGTTTGTTAAAAAATTGGAATAATTATTCATTTAGTCCTCAATATTTACAAATTCTATTAATTTAATACTAATTTCATTTTGTTTAATAAATTTAATTCTCCAACGAGATAGTGGTACATGTCACAAACTAATTAAAGAGATATTTTTATTAATTTTAATTTATTTAATTCAAATGATTTTTTCTTCCGGTCATATGATGATATGTATCATTATATAATTGGAAGAAAAATGCATGCTATGAATTGAGAAAAGGGGGTTCAAACATACATCCCATAGAATGCTAGGAAACAAAATTGCCACTGGGCCAAACCCTAGACTTGTGAATTTGATACCAACACTATGTATATAACTTGTATTAAGTTATGCCAGTAAAGAAAGAAATATAAATAGATTGAGGAATTTTGAACCAAGGTCATCTAAGGAGTTTAAAAACACCTGAACCTTTGAACTAGATATATAATAATTGATTCAAATTGGATAGATTTTATTACATATATTTGAAATTGTAATTAATATAAGATTAAAAATAAAAATGAATTAAAGTATTTTTTATTTTTAAAGTTAATCATTTGATATTTATATATGATAATTTATTATATTCATTATTTATATGGGATAACTTCTAGTCGGATAAATATCGAATGGTTACCTTTTTTGAACCGGTATTTTAATTAAAATTTAAATTATTCATTTAAATATTTTAAAAAATAATTTATCAAATATAGATTCGGAATGATTAACATCTTAAAAAATATTACATTTAATTTTTAAAATAAAAAACCTTAAATTCATTTTATTTTTAATCTTATATTAATTACAGTTTAATATATATATATATATTAAAATATATCTTATTTTTATTAATTATTAGGTTTGGTATAGAGATTTAGGTGTTTTTAAACTCTTCAGATAGCCTTAGTTCGAATCCTCAAAATCATATTTATTTATTTTCCTGGCATAACTTAATATGAGTTGTATATAGAGTGTTAAAACCAAGTTCACATGTTTGAGGTTTGGTCCAGTGGTAATGTTGTTTCTCATTATTCTAGGGACACAGGTTTAAGCCTCCCCTTACTTTATTCATATCATCTATTTTCCTCCAATTATATAATGACATGTGTCGTTAACACTATGTTTGGAAGAAAAAATCATTTAAAATAAATTAATAATTTTTTTTAATTAGATGATGACATATATCATTATCTGATTAGATGATTAAATTTATTAAAAAAATAAAATTAACTCTAAATTAATAGAATGTGTCAATATTAAGGACCAAATGATTAATTATACAAAATTTTTAACAGCAACGTCATCTCCTCCATTAACCGTGAGTGGTTTGATTGAAATATTTAAATAGTTAGGTGATTTAATTGATAAAATCGAGATATTGGTGGTAAAAATGAAAGAATACAATAGTTGAGTGATCACCAGTGTAGTTTACTCTTTAATTTATTGTTCCTTTTGCGAAAACAAATCTTATGAACAGTGACCGCCATGCCACCGCCACGCATCTTACGCTATATCCACGCGGCAACATCACCAAACCTCAACCGCAACGCTCCCAAGTAGCCGTTGCAACACCCACGTGGCAGGATGCCGACAATGAAAGCTACCGTCACGCTTTCAGGTATTTTAATTAATAATTATAATAATAATAATAAAAAAAAAAAAACTCATACCCGTTGATTTGAAAGAAAGAAGACCCTACAAAACTTGACATCGACCCCAACTGCCAACTTGAACTAAACCATTTCCCTATATCTTTAAAATAGCAACAAATCACACCCCCACTAAATTATTAAAGTAATATTCCATTTCTTGTTCGTTTTGCTTTCTGGTTTTAGCTCCCATTATCAACGAGAACGAAGGGTTTTCCTTTTTTGGGAATTCGTTTCATTGTTGCGTGCGCTTCACTCTCCTGTCTAAGTAGTGGAGGAATGTTCTTGCTTTTATCGACTTCTTGATGAAAATCCAAACGTTCACCTAATTCCATCATCCAAAAGCCAAAGATAAAAGTACTTTCTTTGTGATTTGTTTTGGCCTTTTAGTTTGCCCGGATATTGTTCCCTTTTTTGTTCCACTTGAAGATTCACAAACACAAACTGGTAAGAATTTGTTTAGACTTGCGTTGTTTGTGATTGAAGTTAACTCATGTTGAGAGGACTTGAAATTATCTCCTCCCTCTTTATGTTTTTATTGAAAACAATGATTTTTCTGTGAGTTTTATGTTTATAGAAGTCAGCTGTCTTGTGAGGTTTCTTCTTATAGCAGGAATATATTGCAACATAATAGTTTGATCGTTTAATCAATGTAGGTTTTCTGATTTGGGAATTTTCTCTGTGTGTGCAGAGGAGATTTATAAAGATGGCGACACTAGTTGACATAGGGGTTGCGGCAGGCATAAATCTGCTAAGTGCTTTTGTATTCTTCATCGCGTTTGCCATATTAAGGCTTCAACCTTTCAACGATAGGGTTTATTTTCCGAAATGGTATCTCAAGGGTTTAAGAAGCAGTCCTTCGAGGTCTGGAGCATTTGTGAAGAAATTCGTCAATTTGGACTTCCGTTCCTACTTGAGGTTCTTGAATTGGATGCCAGAGGCTCTCAAAATGCCAGAACTTGAGCTCATCGATCATGCCGGATTGGATTCAGCAGTTTATTTGCGTATCTATTTGATTGGGTATGCTGCAGGCCATCTCAATTTCTTATTTGTTCATTTTTTCTCTCACTTTTATTGCTTTGTTGCTTATGCGTTAAGTCTTGCTTCTGCCTATATGTTTGTAGGTTTCCGTATTTATGTGTATTTAAACCATTTTTCTTTTCCTGGTTAAGATTATGCTTTTTTTATGAAATGCTTTCGATAATATTAAGCGATTGAATCACCTTTTTAGTTCTCTGCCTTTTAAGTTTGTTCATAAGCTCTGAAGGCTCTCTTATTGTTCTGTATGCAGCCTAAAGATTTTTGTACCTATCACGTTCCTTGCATGGACAATCCTAGTGCCGGTTAATTACACTAATAACACATTGGAGCTGCAACTGAAGAATGTTACTTCAAGTAATATTGATAAGCTCTCAATTTCAAACGTTCCAGATGGATCAGATAGGTAGGAAATCTTCTGACACTGCCAACTTCTTATGTCTGAGCCTGTCTTCAGGTAACAGTGGAATAATATTTAATTCTATGTTGTAGGTTTTGGACTCATATTGTAATGGCTTATGCTTTTACGTTTTGGACATGCTTTGTGTTACTAAAGGAGTATGAAAAAGTTGCGAATATGCGGTTGCAATTTCTTGCGTCAGAAAAACGCCGGCCAGATCAATTTACTGTAAGATGTATTCTTTGCATTATCTTCTAAATGAATTTAAATTTACTCTTCTAGTTCTATTTATTATTTTCATGTAATCTTTGGTCTTCATCATAATTTAAAGAGATAGGGTTTCAAGTTGATTTTCTATTTATGAAATTGTTTATTTAACATTTTAAGTTACCTATCATCAATTTTGAACTTGTTGACAAAAGTGAGTTCTTGAAAGAATTGGGAACAAAATATCGTCCATTGCATTTTTAAAGACTTTAAATGTCTGTTCATCTATTAGGTTTTCGCTATTTGCTGTATCTTTGAAGATAGTTGTGAATTTTGTTTTATTTGAGCACACACTTTTTTGGAAAGTGTGGTTTATTCCATTTTGGAGTATTTTTTCATGCACTGCTAATTACTATAGTGCTTGTCTTGGAAGTTTAACAAATTGAGATCAACCGCTGAGCTATATGGCTGATGGTATAACTTTAATTAGCAGACTTATCCCTTGGTCTAAGAATTGTGAAATCACTTGTTGTCTTTTCCATAGATATTTGTTTCCATAGAATTGTGAAAGTTTATCACTACATGTTCAGTTTACAAATGTAACTTTATTTTTGTATTGTTCTCTTAAGGAAGACCTGTGACGCTCATGAAAGTCTCCTATATGCTAGTACTACACCCTTGATCTATTTTCGGATTGACATCTTTTACTAAATTGCATCTGAATGAAATTTTATTTTTTAGGTGCTTGTTAGAAATGTACCACCGGATCCAGATGAATCTGTTAGTGAGTCTGTGGAGCATTTTTTCCTGGTCAATCACCCAGATACCTATCTTACACATCAGGTGGGTTCCTCTTTGCATTTGTTTCAATAATATTGATATTATCTTCTTGTAGTTTGTTGCTATTCTACTATGTATTTCTCATCCAATGATGTCCAAGTTCAAGATTATTATAGAATGCAGTTTATGTTATAGCTCTCCTTACAATCAGGTAGTATGCAATGCAAACAAGCTTGCGAAGTTGGTGAAAAAGAAGAAAAGTATGCAGAATTGGCTTGATTATTATCAGTTGAAGTATTCCAGAAATAATGCAAAAAGGCCTCTTATGAAGGTAAGTTACTGCTGTCTAATGTCTGTCATGGATTTAATAGCCTGTCTCCTGCTGATGTTCAGCTTTGATTTATATATTTCTTATTTCTTGACAAGTGTATTATCTCTTTACCAGACTGGTTTTCTTGGGCTCTGGGGTCAACAAGTGGATGCAATTGATCATCACATATCTGAAATTGAGAAGTTATCCAATGAAGTAAGTATTTCTTTTTCAACTTGCACATTCTCTTTAGAATGATTTATTTGTTCATTCAATCAAAAGATTCAAACCTGTTCTCCTATGCTGCATCCAAGCCGCATCCATTTTCTAGATTGACTTAATTTATTGAGGATAGGCTTTTTTAAATTATGGAACAGCTTAGTTGAGTATTATTATCTCAAGACAATATCAAAAGATGCTTTTGACGGAGTGGTATCATTATTGCATTTTGTTTTCCACCACTTGGTGTTTTTCAACATGTGTTGATGTGGGTTGCACGTTTCAATATTCAGATAGCTGAAGAGAGGGAAAGGGTCCTAAAAGACCCAAAAGCCATAATGCCCGCAGCATTTGTTTCCTTTAAGTCTCGATGGGGTGCAGCTGTTTGTGCTCAAACCCAACAAACCAGGAATCCAACTTTGATGTTAACAGACTGGGCACCTGAGCCACGGGATGTATACTGGCAAAACTTGGCAATTCCATACGTCTCTATCGCTGTTAGGAGGCTAATCATGGCTGTAGCATTTTTCTTCCTGACTTTCTTCTTCATTATCCCGATTGCATCCGTACAAGCTATGGCCACTATTGAGGGCCTTGAGAAAGCATTGCCATTCCTGAAGCCCCTAATTGAAATGTGAGTTACATTTTTATTTTGTAATCTTGTGTTGTTATTTGGATTGTAATAATGTCTATAATCATTAATTTTGGCTTGTTTTCTCTTTGCAGAAAATTTATTAAATCAGTTATCCAAGGTTTTCTACCTGGTATTGTATTGAAGCTCTTTCTCATATTTCTGCCAACTGTATTGATGATTATGTCCAAGTTTGAAGGGTTCACATCAATTTCATCATTAGAAAGGAGATCGGCAACTAGATACTATCTTTTCAATGTAGTGAACGTATTCCTTTGCAGTGTAATTGCTGGCAGTGCAATGGACCAGCTAGACACATTTCTTAAGCAGTCGGCAAATGAGTATGTATTCCTTCCATTTTCTTCTGTGTATCTGCTTTTAGAGATTCAATTTCTGTTTATGCATAGGGTGTGCTTTTGATGTAGGTTCTTAGTCAATCAGTGGGATTTTAAGTTTGATTTGTCTATCAAATTGGATATGTTTAATTGGATATATGGAAAGGCATCTTGTAGTTAGAGAATGTTATCCTTGTGACAATTTAAGGGATAAGCACTTTATGCATAAAATCGGATCTCTATAAAATTTTTAGTGATTCTTTTGCGGACCAATTGGGTATATGGAAAGTCATCTTGAAGTTATAGAATGTTATCCCTGTGACAATTTAAGGGGTGATTACATCTTACGCATAAAATTGGATCTTTATAAAACCATTAAGGATTTTTGTTGCGGACCTTATGTTGGACTTTCAAGTTAACAATTGTTTCTACGATGCCCTTTCACAATTTGGAAAGTATCTTATTTGTGTTGTTCCATATATTTTGTTGCATACGTAGCTAAGTTTGTTTTCTATAATGATTTTGGTGACTAAATTTGCTTTTCATTTTGATCTAAACATTTTTTACCTTTTTTTGTGTGTGCAGAATTCCTAAAACAATTGGTGTGGCTGTACCAATGAGAGCGACTTTTTTTATTACTTACATCATGGTTGATGGATGGGCTGGAATAGCAGCAGAGATTTTGATGCTGAAACCGCTTATATTTTACCACTTGAAGAACTTTTTCTTGGTGAAAACAGAAAAGGACAGGGAGGAGGCAATGGATCCAGGAAGTTTGGGCTTCAACACTGGAGAACCTCGTATACAACTCTATTTTTTACTTGGCATGGTTTATGCTACTGTGACACCTGCTCTACTTCCTTTCATTGTAGTTTTCTTCGGGCTAGCTTATGTTGTCTTCCGTCACCAGGTAAAGAACTTCGATACATAATATCCAAGTATTATAGTAAATGAATCTTTTGTTTAGCTTTATCTGATTCCCTCTATTTTGCTTTGAAAAATATAGATCATTAATGTTTACAATCAAAAGTATGAAAGTGCTGCAGCATTCTGGCCTGATGTCCATGGACGCATTATAATTGCTTTGCTCATCTCACATATCGCTCTCATTGGATTGTTAAGTACAAAGCATTTGGCTCAGTCAGCACCACTTCTCATTGCACTTGCTGTCCTCACAATCTGGTTTTACAGATTCTGCAAAGCCCGATATGAACCTGCTTTTGTCAGACTCCCTTTGCAGGTTCATTGATTTATTGCATATTTAGCTAATGGTTTCTTCCATGTCTTTAGTGATTCATTCGTACATAAAGCTTTCATTCTCTAACTTTAGTATCTGGTCCATTACTATTTAAGTGCTACGTCATAATCTGATATTCTCATCATAATCATTATCTGAAGAATTTAGTTACATGATCATAATCTTTACTTTGTGCGTTGTTTATTCTAGGAAGCAATGATGAAAGATACTTTGGAACGTGCAAGGGAGCCTACCTTCAATTTGAAACCCTATCTTCAAAATGCATATATCCATCCAGTTTTCAAAGACAACGACGATGAAGAGGAGGTATTTAGCAATAAGCTAGAAGACGAGAGTGTGTTAGTACCCACCAAACGCCAATCTCGAAGGAACACACCGGTGCCTAGCAAAATTAGTGGTGCGTCCTCACCATCCTTACCAGAGACTGTTCCTGAACATTCAATACCCTAAATTAGGTAACAACTGCGAACCGGTTTTGCCACTATACCGTTATGTTCGACTCTTAGCAAAAACCATGCAGCGTAAAGGATGGAACTGTAAAACAAAATACTCTGTAAATTAAATGAACAAACTCTACAGCTGTTGTAGGTTTTTTGTTTGCAAGGAAGTTCTTGTACATGGGATTGGTATATCCCATGATAGTTTGACTGAGAAGCTTGGCAATGTGAAGGGGGAGGTCTGATAAGAAACTTGTGATATTTTTATACAATTTTTTTAGTGTACAGCTGTTGTATGCTTTTTGTTTGCAAGGAAGCTCTTGTACATGGGATTGGTATATCCCATGATAGTTTGACTGAGAAGCTTGGCAATGTGAAGGGGGAGGTCTGATAAGAAACTTGTGATATTTTGAGAAGCTTGGCAATGTGAAGGGGGAGGTCTGATAAGAAACTTGTGATATTTTTATACAATTTTTTTAGTGTAAGAACTCTGTTATTGTAATGCTCTTTTTTATTCTTTTTTCTTTTTGGGGAATTGACTTGTTTCAAATATTGCCTACAATTAAAAATGGCGAGGAATGAAGAAAGTGTAAATGAAAATATGAACATAATTCTCTAATTTTCTTAGTTTATACTTGGTTTCGTTTCCTCCTAACTTCCCCTTTCTCATTGGTAAGAACATTTGATGAAGATATAGCTTCACGAAGGCAGAAGAAAATGCCTGGAAGAAACTGCACTTGTTGGCAGCAAACTGAGTGACTATGGGTGCAGTTCGTTGATCTATGGACATCCTTGAATCAATAGTGAAGAGGCCTTTCCCCAGAAAAAAACATCTTTATAATAGTGATTATCAAAAGCCAAGGGGGTCTTATCGTTTGGCACAATGGTGAGATTCATCAGTGGTTTTCTGGTAGGGCAAAGTAATCTGAGCATGGCTTTAAAGCCAGGATTAATTGGGTCATCAGACTGCCTATCAAATAAACTGTCCACAATGTTTATGCAGTGTCCTCCTCCTAAAGTACGAGCTTCTGCAAGAAACACAGTAAAGACTCCATTAACAAACGAGAAGCTTTTCAAATTCCTTCGTGCTGGCTGATTAATAACCATGATTGCAACAGATTCCCCGAGGTTTAAGCCTTTCGATTCGAATAGAGCAATGCACCGACTGTTATGTTCGGTGGAGAAATAATCACATCAGCTGCTTGGCGACTAGAAATGGGGGAATCCTTTCTTCCAAGAGGAATCTGGATATTGGGTCCTCCAGACAGTGCAACTGATACCTTGGCTGCTAAGGCAATAGTATCTGCATATGAGACATGCCTTGGACACTTTCCTAGATTGTATTTTGTATGGTGAATAGTTTCCAGCTTTCTAATCCCAGAATTCATACCAGAAGCTATTTCAGAGTTGCCTTTAAGTGCTTTAGAATCCAACTGGATGGATGCATCACATCCCTGTATCATAAAAGGAAGCAAGATATAATACAGAAACATGTGTTCTCTTACATCATCGGAATTATGCTGAAAAAATAAATCTGGGTCCAAGATAGGAATACCTGAATTTGGCAATCGTGAAACAAGAGCCTAAGGAAAGCAGCCGGTGCAGTAGTATTGGTGAACACGACGCCGAGCACAGCATTTCTCACAGTGCTCCACATTGGGACATGAAATCCTATAGTAGTCATAAGCAAGCTGGGTTTCACAGGCTCCAACCCAGATCCCCATCCCTAATGCTGCTCTTAAATTCAACATAAAACAAGTATCCATTCTCTCCATCGATCTAACCATATCAGCCTCTTACAAGTACCTAAAGCAACGCAGATGCACATCATGTTACACCCCAAATTTAATGAAATTAAGGATCAAATTGCCAGCTTTTGAAATTTGTATTTCGATTTAGAAACTGTGGAAAGTTCAGGGACTTAGACCCGAGTTTATCCTTTTTTTGTCGTGAAAGAAAATAAAGAATGGAGGGTTAGTACCCCTATCCCCATCATAATAACCCATGCCCTAACCGTTTAGGCTAGGGACTGTTGGTGCTATTTTTAGATAAATATATATTTTGTAGTTTTAATTCAGGTTATAAAAGAATCTATTCCCCAAAATCCTCAATTTTTCAAATTCCTAACCCCAAAATCCTTAGCAGTCGGCCTTTACACCGCCGATTTCTTCACAATCAGGCTATCGCTCAGCCTGCCACCACTCCCATTCGATTCGTCATCAACCGACGACCAAAACCCAAGGACTAGCGAAGCGTGATTCATCGTCAATCGATGCGAATCAATGTTCGAAGCATCACCAGAAAATCCACCCCGACGTTCAAATTTTCATCGATTCCTATCGATTTGACCTGTCGTTCACTTATAACCCACCGTCATTGTCGCCTGCACTATCGAACTCGACATCGCCGTGCGCTCAAAATCCAACCAAAATCATCGCGCCGTTGTTGCTCCACCGTTGTCACTCGCCGATCACCATTGGAACAATTCAAACATTTTAAAATTCCACACTCCGTCATGTTTCGTTGAAAAATAACATATGCACGAGACTCCTAAGGTGTCGATCTACAAGACTGAAAATATTTACGCTGAACCGACGACCAGAGCCGCCACATGCATCACCCCTGCGCGTGAGCGTCGACTGTCAACCAGGGGGTCTGTTGACCGGTTGAACCGGTCTGAACCTGTAACACCCCCAGACCGATACGGGTGACCCGATACGATATGGGTGTCACATTAGGGCCACCGGAGAGACCCACCATAAAAATCTCGGAAAAAATTACAATTTTATTAAAACATGTAAAATCATTTATAAATACAAAGGTAAACTTTACCAATATTGTAACACCCCCAACCCGTATTCGACCCGGATATGAGTCCGAGGTGTCACATTGATTTTTCAAAACTTATATTTGTATACCAACATAAAAAAAATATACTTTTATTCAATAAAAGTTCATAATTCATATTATTACAAATAAAGTATCTTCAAAACTGATCAGAGCGTATATAATTCAAAACATTAATTACATGCCAATTATTTCCAATAAACAAAATACATATAATTCCAAACTCTTTTCTGATCTGATCATAGGAAAGGAGAGGCTGACATGTCTTGCATTGCTTATCATTGCTTTACTCCTCTTTTTGCTTCAAGGAAACTACGTGTAAAACGCTTACACGCTAAGTCGATGACTTAGTAAGGCATTAACTTATAAAGGGAACTCTAACTACTTAACCATGCATGAACATATCATACAATGCTATCACCCAAAATAATATAACATTACCTATAAACAAATGTACACATACACAAATCAGGTCATTAGTAGCAATGTTATATTCATTCATATCTTTTAATTATTTATTCTTACACTTAACTTTCTTAACTATCATATGATTCATTTAACCATTTATATATAGGCGCACCTATCATCATTATCCTAATCACATTATTGTCATTATCACCATCGTTACTCCATTTAGAACATATAATCTGATATTTAACCTTTGTAGCATTTCAAACCATACATTTCACAAATTGAGCATATAACATTACAAGAGGTTTCTTTATGTTATTTCTTTTATTAGCCCATGTACATTTTCGAGAACTAAAGATATGCGAGTACATTGAGGTTGTGCACAAATGCTGTCACCACAGCTCGTACAAATCCCACTAGGGGCACTTAGAATTTATCCCGAAATACTACTATGTCCCGAAGGACCACATATCACATATATCCCGAAGGACCACTCCTTAAGAATCATATACATAATACAATAGACCAAATAAGTGTACCAAAGTACCACATATATGTTCCACAGAAATACATATATGTCTCGAAGGACCACGTAGAACCCTAAACTCTTGGCATGCCAACTATACCTCTAGCTCTCATGACATATAACATGAGCATTATCATTTATCTTATTTCACATAATCATATTACATAAACACATTTTCTCATCGCTTCTTATCATATCATGTGATCGTATCACTTATAAGCGCATAACTCATATTCACATGGCTTATCTCATATGCATATGTTCACATACTTTATAATAGAATAATTTATACCTTTTCACACATAGTCACATAGATCACGTAACCTATTTCATACTTATAAGTATATATCACTTCTATTATTTTATTCATGTACTAATTTAATCTATTTATTTAGTTCAATTTCATATAACTCCTATAACCTTCTCATATGACTCCATAGGTCTTTATCATATAACCCATGTGTCATAATTTTATTTAAGCACATGAATTTTTCTCATTTAGCTTATCTTATATGTTCATGTCATTACTTATGTTCAAGACTCCTAGTTGATATACTATTCTCATATCATCCTATAGGTCAATCTTATTTAGCTTATTTCACTTCTCATTTAATCATATACTTTTATTTTACTATTTCACATAAATGATCATACCACTATGTACTTGCCCAACTCACATTCCTATTGTTTATATAACCTTTACATTTGCTTACTTAGCTCATATCATGTATTCGCATAGTCTTATATTTCATTTCCATATATTACATAGATCTTATCACATAACTTATCTTTTTACTCATATAATTTCATAACCTACTTTATATTTTCCTATTATCACGTAATAGTTTTTTACATGAATCACATAACACATACAAGAATATATCAACTCATATAATCAAGCATACATAAACTCTTATTAAACACATGTTCTTGTTCATAAATTCATGCATAACACTATAGGAAATAGACTTGTCGCAAGTCTTATTTCCATCAAACGTCATATATACTATATAATATGCACTCACCTGACCTCACTAGTCAATACTGATCTCTTATCTCTTCTCGTTGACTATTACGTGTCGATTTGTCCAGACTTGCACTCGATCAATATCTATAAAATTATGTATACATATCAACATTCTAAATACTATGATTCGATCCTTAATTTCTTAAGCTAGAAGAAAGAGTTCACCTAAATTTTCTCTTGCAATGGTATCGATACCCCATAGGGTATCGATACTTCATATCTATGGTATCGGTACCATGCCTAGGTACCATGGTACCGATACTCATATTGCATTCTGTAATTTTCGTTCAAAAATAGTATCAATACATTCCTTAAGGTATTAGTACCCTGGGTATCGATACTGTTTTTCCCAGTTATCGATACCCTTTGAATGTTTTCTTTATTTTTACTCTTGAGGTATCGGTACCTAATGAAGCAGTACCGATACCCCTTGCCCAAAATTTTCTTTTTAAGCCCAAAAATTCACTCTTATTAGCTTAAACACCTCATGTTTCATCCCCTTATATATCCTTAACTCAAATACATTAACTTAAACTCATTTGTACTCATTTATCACATCTTTATCCTCAAACTTTTATCCTCCATATGGAATTCAAGAAGCATACTAAATTTTCTACTTATTCTAAATTCAATCTATCACTTCATGTCTCTTAATTCAACCATTGACAAGTCACATTTAGTTTCCTAACTCCTTCATTCTTTGATTTAAAGATA